ATTCAATTTATTTGAAGAGTAGCAGGAGCAAAACGGAAAGTGGAGGAGGAGAAACGACTAAAAAACGTTGGCGTTGGCCAAACAAAATTCACTTTAAGCAAATCAAATTAAAATCAATTAAAATTAACAAGCAAGCAACCGGCAAACCAAAAGCTCCCCAGCACCCAACCACCCACACCAGTTTGCCCCACCGTCCACCGCCCATCGCTATACACTAGACAAAAAGTTTAGTTTATAACAATAAACGATAAACAATTTTATACTCAATAAACAAATATTATTATAATTATTCAACAGTTTTTTGGTAAGGCCTTTGCTTTCTTTTGTGGCCATTTTTTCTCTTCTAATTTAATTTAAGTATTAGAATACATATATTGTTTATATGGTGTTGTCCTTAAATACCAAACAATTTTTTCAGCGTAGACCCCCGAAGAAAAGCGAAATACCAAGCACATGAATCATGCATTTTTGCTTTTTGCCATGGCGCTCTTCTTTCTCACCTCTTGTTTCTGCATTTGTTGCTTCGGCGGTTAAGGTGCGGCAATAAGTAAATTGAGTCGCCCGCGCGTACCACTGAAAATTCGTTGATAAGCGCAGACTTTTGGGCAACCCAGGCCACAAGAAAAGCAACAACACTCAGCAAAAACTTCGGCGCGTAAGTGACAGCGAAAACGAGGAAAGTGCGAGGAAGACACACAGGTGAGAAGCAGAAAGAGACTGGTACATTATGTGCGACTCCAGGTAAGCAGCTCGATTGTTTGCAAATATTTACACCACCTTATCGGCACGTACGAATGTTCACACATAAGCACAAAAGTCAATTTCATGCACTGCAAAAATGTATCTCAAGACAAAATTGCGCTTTCTAGAAAGCAAGAAATTACAGAAAGACTTAACTTGTTATTATATTCCATCTACAGAGTTTGTATAAATATGAAAATATTGCAAGTTAAATGATTTTTAAATTCCAAGGCAAGAATTTATTATATTTTATGATGAGAGAGAGGTTATTATGAATACTTTTAATATTGAATCTGTAAAACACATTTATTTGTAAACTATATATTATAGGGTTAAATTATTGTCCTATTTCCTAAATTTGTTCAGGTCATCAAAGTCCTAAACCTAATTTTAAAGGATGTATTGCACTGAATGCTCCTATTTTTCCGCAGTGCTTTTCCTGCTGATCAACCGTAGGCTTTTTGTGTGCACAGAGACTGAAAAGAGCAGAGCGGAGCGTTTTGAGTTAAGTCACCGCGGCGCTTTTAACGGGCCCACTCACCTGGCGCGGCCCACTCACTCTCGAATTGGAGGTGTTGATCAGCGCTGCGCCAACTGATAGTTAGATACTCGTAGATAAAATAGCATTAGAGATTAATTGGGAACGTGCTGCAAGATGGCGCCACCTAGCGGCGCAGCTGAGGCGTATCCGAGTTGTCTAGCCAAAATAACTAGCGAGAAATTAAGTGCCGCTCGACACACTCAATTTCCCTCCTTTCCCCGCTTTCACCGCCCACACACTTTCGGCAAACAATGGCAAGGCAAGTAGCAAATTGTGTTAGAAACATTTCAAGTTTTTCATTTTGTGTGCGGTGCACATCTTGGGTTGTTTTTTCAATTTTATTGGCACAAGGTTAGAAGACCCAAAGAGAAGAAGCCCGAGACAAACGGGCTGAATAGGAGGTGGAAGATGAGGCACAAATGGCAAAGTTTATTATGCCATGGCTCATTGTTGTGGTGTAGTATGTGGCCCGAACCGAAGACCCAAAGTGCAATGAAACGAATACAAATGCAAATGCGGCAGAAATTCTATGATACAAAGTTCATGTCTTTAAATGAATTTAGTGAAAAATTCAGCTTGAATGAAATAGCTGGTAGATTCGGACTTATTGAGATAAGTCTTTTGTCTTCTCTAAAACTTTTACATTAAGAATTTACCAAATATCATTACTAATTTACAACTTAGTTTTGAACTTCGAAAAATGTTTAGATACTTTTTTCACTTTAATTTATTTATTTCAAACTTTGTTGACATGCTTCATTTGATAATATATGTATCTTATTTTATGTTTAAACCTGACTTTTCTAAGAAATTTCAAGTCTTTCTACCGCACCAAGAATCTAACAAGCTTCAAGTTTATGATATAGTTTAAAGACTGTTGAATAAATGACCAAAGACGGCGTTTTGTGATTCAAACCAAACTTTAAGGGGCTTCACAGGCCTCTAGAAATTTCTGCGGCACACAGGTTATTGAACATTAGTAACATGGGGTTGTTAAGAAATTTCGTGGTGCGAAAAGCATTAAGTTAAGAGATTCATTGAAAACATTAAAATTGGTGGAGGTTTTAATCAGGGATGTTGGCCCTTAAAAATCTGAATTATAGAAGTTGAGCTGAAAATGTGAGGCTTGAAGCAGAGAGTCTCGTGCACAAAGCCTCGAGCTGAAAGAGCGAGTGAGAGGGAACAAGAAAGAGTGAGAGCGAGACGCGCTCAGCTGAGCACATGACGCTTTTAAAGCGCGACTTGAGGCGTGGGCGACTTTGACAGCTGCTGCTCACGTCATAGTTTCCCCACAAACAAATCCACGCGGTGCACTACAAATGGTGTACTACTGTGTACTGTGTTGGTGTCTTTGCCTCGCTTACTATACAATTTTTTGTGTGGTACGCCTCTTTGTGTGGGTGGCGCTTACAAGGCTGTTTGCTGCACATTCACAAAGGCCCAAAGGCAGCGGGCAAAGCAGAACGCAGCTGTTGCTTTTGTTTGGCAGCCCAACAAAATGTTTTTTAGAAAACCGCTGCCACTGCCACAATTCCCGCCTCCTCCCACGCCTTCCACGCCCCCCACCGTACCCGTCCACCCACGCACCACAGTGGGAACAACCTTGCGAAGGGCAAACAATTACACCAAAGCATAAAGCAGAAATGGAACAGACAGAAAAGCTTCAGAAAAACTGACTTCTAGCGAATTTCAAACTGAGTTAAGATTAAGTATTTTAAAAATTGTTCTCTAGATGTTTAAAATTAATCGAAAGGACGTTCAAAGGGTATTAAACACATCTTCTAACGATTTAAAATATATTTAGTTAGCAATATTGAAAGAAACTCGACAACGATTTAAAACTCAAGTAAAAATTGCCTCCCTTTTTTTTAAAGTCTTTCCCAAATCTTTTCTCCTTAATTTGATCCTTAAAACTAAAGAAATTTCATTACGAAAAAATGTAAGAATAATAAATTTAAAATATATAGTTGGCCGATTCTCTCTGATTTCAATCTTCGCGCGGTAATTTCATTTGCAGAGGCTGTACTGTAATAATGGTCGTTGCGGTGTAAATGCAAAAATGTCGACGCAGCAGCGGCAGAAACGGACAATAAATAACTACGAGCGGCGGCTGTGACGTTAAGTAGCTTAGCGTAGTAAAGGAAAAACTCGGCGAACAACAATAACAGCCATAGCAACAACAACCACAACCAAAAGCGACGACTACAACTATATTTTAGCGCGCAGTTGACTTCATAAAACTAATTGCAAGCAAATGGACAAGCATAAATTCGCCTTATATCCAAAGGCCGGTACAGAAAAAAAAGTATTAACCAAAGGCAAAAGCGCAAAAACAACAAAGGAACTGCGGTGAAATGTAGTTGTTGTTATATTGGCCGTTGTTGTACAACGAACATAATTGTTGTTGTAGTTCATTAACGTCAACACCGCCACGCTCAAGTCGTTTTTCTGCTGTATTTTGTGTGTGTATTGGCCTTTTTGGTCGGTCTAAAACATTTTTGAAATAAGACGCAGCGGCACTGAAATGCTTTGCTTTTTACAAGGCGAAATTAAAGCACTCTATGATTAAATAATTTAATTTTCCTTTAACTTTTTTCATACATAGTTTATGAATTCTCACTATTTAGACTTTAAATATTAATAACATTTCAGTAACATTATTCCCAATTATTAAGATTGGTTTAAAAATTTTACTAGTTATGAATTTAGATTACATACAAAAACGTTAAGCTTCCTTGTGTTTTAGTTGACTCACTGTATCAAGCCTTCACTGTATAACTAAATTACATAAATTCCGATCAGACACGAGCCGGTTAACGGATCTTTCGCAGTGTAAGGCCAAAAACAGCGGGCGTGAAATAAAATTTGGCAACGATCAAAAGAGAGAGAGAGTGAAAGAGAGATGATTTTGGATCGTGGGCGAATCTGTTGCACAGAAAAAAATATGGTCGACATCAAGCTGAACTTGTAGATATATACATTTTCCTTATTAATTGTATATGTATGTATGTCAGCAAGGATCTCAAAGATCTTAAAATGTTCTACATACAGAAATACTTTCAATATTTTTAAAATCATGTTGAACATTAAAATGGTGGTATCATGTGGCATTTTCTTTCTGTGTACATGCGCCGCCGCCGGCGTCCCATAAAAATGTGTTGTTTATGCTTTTTGGCCAACTGCGGCGGCCAATTTTCGCCCGCAAGATTTTCGCATTAAAAATGGTTCGAAAAAAAAAATGGGAAATGATCTCCCGGCGCAGCTGCAAATGCTTCATCTTCTCGTTCTGATCAGAGCGAGGGAGTTCAACGCTTCGCCTCTTTTGTTTGTTGCTTTTTCTGTCGTGAATTTCTTATTTGATTTATGACCAGCTGTGTGTGCGAAGGAGACAGCAACTCGCCCATCTGGTTAACGCACAAAAATCAAATCACAACGTATGCTGGCAATTAATTATTAAGTCTCATAATCACCATTCATAAATAAAACAAACACCCAAGGCATTCCAATAAGAACACTTTCGCTTTCTTATTGGAGCCACGAAAGAGACACGAAAAAACAAAAAAACGAGACAGAAATTATGTAATTCCCGCGTTCGTGCTACTTAAATAATAATAACAGTTAATGCCAAAAAAAACAGAAAAAAGTGTAATAAGCACCCACACATGGCCAATTTTCTTATTGGGAGGTGCGGCCTCCACACACACGCACACGCACTTACCTTCTGTTGTATTTTTTGTTGTATTTTCGTTTGTTTGCCTTCGCTCTCTGTCGCTCTCTTTTGTTGTTGCTGCAGCTGATGCTTCTTCTTCAACATTGGTTCATTCATACAATAGATCCCAAATGTTTCCATTTTACCTTGATCCTGCCATCAGGATTGCATTGATTTGAGCCAAACCAAAATCCTTGGTTTTGTTCACACACAAATAAGCTGGAAACACACACATGTGTGTTAATAGTGGCTAATTACGCCGTATAGCAACAACAACTCGCGACTTTTATTATGATTTCACATTCTTTCAAAAAACCACACACACGCACATACACACACACAGACACAGTAAGTGCAACTGCCGGCGTTGTAAAAGCGAGACGCAAGATACGTGACGCGAGGGGTGAAGAGCAAAAAGAAGAAGACGCCCACACCGCGAAGCAATCGAAATCGTTAAATATAGTATTTACTTAAGCACTTTAGCGGAGCGTTGTGGCTATTTTTTGGCAGTACGCAGCTCGACGCTCGTTGAGTAACTGAACTCACCACCAATTGGAATTCTTGGCCAAACAACACAAACAGCTGATTTAGCAGGGTGAAAAAATTTAAGGTGGCAAAGTCCAGGGTTGCCACATCTTTGCGCTTGGTATTACCATATGGTGAAAACATTTTAACTCAACGAAAATTTAAATATTGATCGAGGTCACCACTGTGTGATAATGCCCGTTGGCAATACAGCGAATATATTGTGATTTATGTTGGTGGTACAGGAAGAATTGGGAAAGTGTGTATATGTCCTAGCATCAAAATAAAATATTTATAAAAAAACTCATGTGTGAATTGAAACAACTGCCAATTCTAAAAATAACAATCCTACCATCGTGGTTTTCCTCTTAACAGACTATATATCCCTCCATACCACGCCTGTTTTTAATAAAAGCCTTTTAATTCAACTACAAAAACAAATGATTCTACATTTTAACAAATTTGTCATGTAGTTAGCATGTAGATAAATGACCTAGTGTGTGCACATCAAAATTATGATTTGGTATAATTAATTATCGATAGCAGATGGTTTCCGATATCTTTGGCGCCCTTTTCAAAGAGTTACATTATATTTTCTTGCAAGCATTCACTTTACATTAGTAACAATAATTAAATAATTAAAAATACAACCAAATTGCTTATTTTTCTTTTAATAAGGAATCCGAGCAAAGGGAATTATAATTCAGCTGGAATCGACAAACTTACAACATAAACTTATTGTTCTTTTCGGACAAATGCTTCGAGGAGCGCTTGGCGTCGAGGAATAGCGAGTGCACGTCCTCGATGTCGTCCTTGCTGATCTGGCTGCGTCCGTTCACCTTGGCCATCTGGTGGGCCGGCGTCAGCAGCTGGACGGCGTAGCGCAGCGTGGAGCTGGTCCCGATCTCGCTGAGTCGCGCGAAGCCGTTCTCCTCCAGCTGCAGGCCCTCGGTCTGGGCACGCAGTTTGATGATCTGCTCCATGTCGGCGGTGGAATAGAGCAGTGTGCGGATGATGAGCAGGCGATCCAGCAGATCCAGTGGAATGCCGTGCGGCGAGACGATGTCGGTGGTGCCACTGTAAAGGGAAATAAGATGAAAACAGAGCTCAAGACAAATCTAAAAAAATGTATTTAGTTGCTTGCTAAATATTTCATTAGGTCGTTTAAAAAAACTCTGTTTAATGAAGCAACTATTTAGTTTAAAATATACTTTAATCAAGATTTAGAACAGGTATTTTCGTGTTATAAATAACATAACACGAAAAGTAATGATTTAGTTCAAAAATCAGCACTGTTGCTATAACAACTCTAACAAAAAACTTATACATATTATCCAGTATTGATTATTATTTCTTTAACACCTAAAACTTCAATTAATGCAATAATTCAAGTTTAATATGTTAAGATAAGTCCCTTTAATTTAACTAGTACCTAAAACAGGATTTATAATTATACAACATAATTATGCAATTCAGAATTGCATCCCATAAATTCTTCTTACCGAATCACACAGCGTCCGCGATTGGTGGCAAAGATCACAATTGGAGCGATGGGAGATTCCAGCGACTTGTGTAGATAGGTGAAGGTCTCCAGATCGAGCATGTGGATCTCGTCGATAAAGAGGACTCCGGGAACCAGCTCGGCTATGCCCTGGTCAATATACTTGTTCACCACCTTGTTGATCTCCAAGCGTAGTTTGTCTGATTATCAAAAGAGTAAATTAGTTACTTCATAGGAAAGTATAGGAAACACCAAAGCGTACCGGTAATTTCGGTTTTCTTGGGCTTCATGAGCTGGCCCATCATGGAGAGCACATCCTGGCCACCCTGAGGACGAGCATTGGCCACATCCAGATCGTGCAAGGTGACATCCTGGATAACCTCCTTCTTCTTGTGGACATCGCCCTTGGGCAGCGGCACATACTCCTCGGTCTCCAGGTCGAATTCGGTGGCAAAGGTGTCACTGCGTCCCTGGCGCTTCACTGCTCCACTGTTGGCCTCTATGTAGATGACATCACCCACCTCCACCTTTTCCTTTTGCAAAGCATCAAAGATGCTGGGATCCAGTTTGAGTTGTTTGGTGCCCTTGGCCGTCTTCAGGCCGATGACCACATTGCTGATGGTCTTGCCATAGCCACCCATGGGATTCTCCGTTTCCACGGGAGTGAGCTCCGTGACCTCGCCCTCGTAAACCTCCTTGGTCTCGCGGATGCGGAGGCCAATGGACCGACGAAAGTTCTCCATCAGCACCTCGGTCTTCTTGATCTCGTTGCTGAAGACCTCCGAACCGACCATGGGGCAGAAGGGCACCTTGTTGCCCAGCTCCTGGGCGATGGCCAGTGCAATAGCGGTCTTCCCAGTCCCAGGTGGACCGGCCAGGAGCAGGGCTCTTCCGGCCATCTTCTTCGACTTGATCAGATCCACCACGATGCCGGCTGCTTCGCGGGCTGCCTTCTGGCCCACCAAACCGGCAGCACTGTGCACCGCGGCCCCCATCTCGTCCAGACCCAATCCCTTCACGTGGCTGTGGGCCGCAATGCGCTGAGTGCGCACGGTGCTCTTGACTTCCTCGATCTTCATGGCGCCTCTGAGTTGGAGTCCTTGCTAGTGGCTTTTTATCCTGATTCCGGTTGCAGCTGCTCTTCGCCAGCGGGAGATGTGAACTCAAGCGTTGTATCGATCTAACGAGCTGTCCTGTTGCCTGGACGAAATTTGTTTTGTGCCGGCAGATGCGAATTGGAAAACAGAAGCACACTTTGTTTCGATAGGCTCCTGGGATGGTCACACTAATCTAAGTCCAGATATGAGTATATCGATACACTAAACTGTCTCGCGTAGGAAGTAATCGCGCGAAGTATTTAAAAGTTTAAAACAGTTTTAGCCTCAACAAAATATATGTTATTAAATACTTCATATTATATCAATAAACATCTTAAAATATTATTAGATTAAATTTTAGTTTTCTTCGAAGAAAATAAATGCGTAATAAAAACCTGATCTTTTTAGAAAGAGAATATATAAACAAAACCATTTCAAAATTTGCATAAAAAAAGAAAACTATTAAAAATAAAAAAATATGACTGAAACCATTACGAAATTGGCACTTATATATGGTGATACTTATATATACTTATTTAAGGTGAAGAAAAACTCTCGATAATCATTCTTGCTGTGCTCAGTGTAGCTTCATTGCGCTTTGAGGTATTTTACGGCGTTCAGCATATGGTCATATCATAAACAACATAATCTCGATGGTCTGGCCGCAAGAAAACATAAACAAATCAATATTTAAGGGACTTCTTCAAGACTATTAAAGAAAATCAAAATAAAATCTAACCATGAGTTGCAACTACGCGGATGGACTGTCAGCCTACGACGACAAGGGAATCCTGGGTGCGCCCGAGAGTTTCGACAGCGATGAGGTGGTGACCGAAAAGTGCCAGGAACTTGCTGATTTGATCAAGAAGTCCGGACACGTTGTTCTTCACACTGGAGCAGGGATCAGTACATCGGCAGGAATCCCAGACTTCCGGGGACCCAAAGGCGTTTGGACCCTGGAGGAGAAGGGCGAAAAACCAGACTTTAACGTCTCCTTCGATGAAGCCAGACCCACGAAGACCCACATGGCAATTATATCTCTGATCGAGAGTGGCTATGTGCAGTTTGTTGTTTCCCAGAACATAGATGGACTGCATCTGAAATCCGGACTGGATAGGAAATATCTCTCCGAGTTGCACGGCAACATTTACATCGAACAATGCAAAAAATGCAGACGCCAATTTGTCAGCCCTTCTGCTGTGGAAACAGTGGGGCAAAAATCCCTGAAACGTCCCTGTAAATCTTCTATGGATAGTAAAGGTCGGAGCTGCAGATCGGGTATTCTACACGATAATGTTCTAGATTGGGAACATGATCTGCCCGAGAACGACCTAGAAATGGGCCTGATGCACTCCACAATCGCCGACTTAAATATTGCTCTCGGAACCACTCTGCAAATCGTTCCCAGTGGTGATCTTCCCCTGAAAAATCTCAAACGCGGTGGTAAATTTGCCATTTGTAACCTACAACCTACAAAACACGACAAAAAGGCAAATTTAATCATATCCAGCTATGTGGATGTGGTTTTGTCCAAGGTTTGCAAATTGTTGGGTGTCGAGATCCCCGAATACTCGGAGTCCTCTGATCCTACCAAGCAGTCTAAGCCAATAGAGTGGACCATACCAACTAATAATGTAAATATCTTTCACAAAAAGTATAGGACACATGTGAAAGACTCGAAAATTGAATCTAAAGCCAAGAAAACTAAATATAAGTAAGTTTATAAAAAAAACCTTATTTATGTAGAAGACAACCGTATTCTTTTCTAAAGAAAATAATATTCTAAAAAATGCATTTATCCATACTGACTCGAAATGTAAATTAATTTATTACCCTAAATGTACATTATCTACTTTAAAAGTCCCATCCTATTTTGTTAGCGCAATGCCACATTTACTGAAGAAGTTAAATGTTTAGGAATAGTAGAAAAATAAATTTTATACGAAAAGGTACTTTATCGGGTTTTATTAAAAAGTAAACGTTAGCAATCGCGTAATAAGTTGGTCTTAGATATAAAGCGCCTTATAAATCAGGCAATATGGGTGGGCATGTGCAAACAAGGTGCTTGTCGCCATAGGCATCATCAATCCTGCCCACAGTGGGCCAAATCTTGGCATCTGGCTTAACAAAGATCTGTAAAAAAAAAGTAAATTAAGATATGTTTAAAAACTATTGAAAATAGACTTACAGCTGGGAAGGCAGCCTGCTCCCGTGTGTAAGGTCGATCCCACTTGTCCGAGATGACTTGGGCTTGGGTGTGGGGAGACATCTTCAGGGGATTCACTGCCTTGTCCATGCGACCCGCCTCAATCTCGGCGATCTCCTCTCGAATGGAAATCATTGCATCGCAGAACCTATCCAGTTCCTCCTTATCCTCGGATTCCGTGGGCTCGATCATCAGGGTTCCAGCCACGGGCCAGGACATCGTAGGGGCATGGAAACCATAATCCATGAGCCGCTTGGCCACATCCACTGCCTCGATATTGGCCGTCTTCTTCAGATCGCGAATATCCAAAATAAACTCGTGAGCCACCAGCTGCGAGTTGGGTGCCTTGTAGAGCGTCTTATAGTGCTGCTCCAACCTCTTGGACATGTAGTTCGCATTGAGGATGGCCACCTGGGTGGCTCTCTTCAATCCACGACTGCCCATCAGTTTGATATAAGACCAGGATATGGGCAAGATGGCTGAGCTGCCGAAAGGCGCTGCGGAAACCACACCGAAACTGTGCTCCTCACTGCTCAACGGACTGACCACCGGATGACCTGGTAGATAGGGTGCCAAATGGGCCTTCACGCCAATGGGACCCATTCCAGGACCACCTCCGCCATGCGGAATGCAGAAGGTCTTGTGCAGGTTGAGATGCGAGACATCACTGCCATAATCTCCAGGGCGACACAAACCCACCTGGGCATTCATGTTCGCTCCATCCAGATACACCTGTCCGCCATGCTTATGAATCAGGGTGCAAATATCCGCCACAGTTTCCTCGAAAACTCCCATTGTGGATGGATAGGTGATCATTAAACAAGACAGCTCACGGGCATGCTCCTCCGCCTTGGCTCTCAGATGGGCCATGTCGATGGAGCCATTCGATAATATCCTAATAGGTTCCACCTTCATGCCCGCCATTTGAGCAGACGCTGGATTTGTGCCATGAGCAGAGATGGGAATCAGACAGATATTCCTGTGACCTTCATTTCGGTGCTCGTGGTAACTCCTGATGGCTCTCAGTCCGGCATACTCTCCCTGGGCACCTGAGTTGGGCTGGAAGGAGATTTTGTCGTATCCCGTTATCTCACACAGATCGTGCTCCAGTTCGCTGAACATCTGATGGAAACCCTGGGCTTGTTCGACGGGAGCGAAGGGATGGATATCGGTAAAGTGGCGGAAGGAGCAGGGCATCATCTCGGTGGTGGAGTTGAGCTTCATGGTGCAGGATCCCAGTGGGATCATCGAGTGCACGAGAGAGATGTCCTTGTTCTCCAGCTTCTTCATGTAGCGCACCATGCGGGATTCACTATGGAAAAGAAAGTCAGGATAGAGTTTTTTTTAGAATTATAGATCTCACCTGTGATAGCTCTGGAAAATGGGATGTTGTAGATAGGGGGATGTACGCAGGAATTTAGAGTTCTCAATGGAGTTCATGAGGACATCACGTCGCGCCAGGATTTGTTCCACGGTGGCCTCCGCCTTGAAAACCCACAGCAGATCGTCCACATCCGCCACACTGACCGTTTCATCCAAAGCCACGCCCACAGAGCCATCTTCCAAATACCGGAGATTAATGCGCTTGTGCTCGGCACGCTCTTTAAGATCCTCCAGAGATTGATTCCCGGCCAGTTTGATGTGCAGCGTGTCGAAGAAGTTCTTATTGATCACCTCGTGTCCTGCTCCCAGGAGTCCAGTTTGCAGGGTCAGCGTGAAGTGGTGGATGCGATTGGCCATGGCCTTCAGTCCCTCCGGTCCGTGGTAAATGGCGTACATGGCCGACATATTGGCCAGTAGAGCCTGAGCCGTGCAAATATTGCTTGTGGCCTTGTCCCTTCGGATGTGCTGCTCTCTGGTTTGCAGGGCCAGACGATAGGCATCATTACCATCCATGTCCCGCGTCACGCCAATCATTCTTCCGGGCATCAATCGAACCAAACTCTGTTTGCAGGCGAAGAATCCGGCATGGGGACCACCATAGCCCAGGGGAACTCCCAAACGCTGGGAGGTACCCACGGCAATGTCTGCCCCGAATTCCGCCGGAGGACGGAGAAGGGTCAGCGACAACAGATCGGTGGCCACCACCACAAGGGTCTAAAGGGGGAAAACAGAATTAGGGATTATATTCCTGGTCCCTTATCCTTAATTGCTAATCAATAAACTTACTCCATTTTTTTTGGCCAAAGCTGCTATATCCTCAAAGTCCTTGACATCACCATGAGTATCTGGATATTGCAGCAGAATGCCAGCCAACTCGCGACTGGGGAGATCGGCCTGTTCAATGGGTCCCACCACGATTTCCAGCTCCAAAGCTTCGGCTCGTGTTTTGACCACCGACAAGGTCTGTGGATGCACTCTGTTGGAGAGGTATAGCTTCTTCCGTTTGTTGTGCCTTGTGGCCAGACACATGGCCTCGGCTGCAGCAGTTCCCTCATCCAACAGAGAAGCATTGGCCACATCCAAACCAGTGAGATCGGATACCAAGGTCTGATAATTCAGCAGCGATTCCAAGCGGCCCTGGGCGATTTCCGGCTGGTAAGGAGTGTACTGCGTGGTCCAACCCGGATTCTCAAACATATTCCGGATAATCGTGTGCGGCACATGGCAGTTGTGGTAGCCCATTCCGATGTAAGAGCGCCACAGCTGATTCTTCAGCGAGATGTCGCGTATACGGCGGATTAGCTCGTGCTCATCTGCGGGACGTAGTGGAAAATTGTTGTCAGCCAGACAGTCGGAGGCAGTCAAAACAGAGATAAGTCGCAGAGACCCCGCTGAACCGGGCTTATCACGGGCTTATCACCGCCTGCGAACACGCCAGGGGGTCCATTGCCTTAGCGCCTATTTTCTCAGCTATTTTGGGACTCAAAAAATAGCGCTACTTACTCAGGGGTTTGGCCAGGTCGAGTTCCCTCTTAAGTTGAATGCTCTGGGGCACGGCTTTTTCCGTAAGCTCAGCCAGGGACTACAAAATTGAAGTAAATGAATAACAGATGGATTTTACACTTAACTTATTTAATTTAGATAGCATTCTAAAACCTTTTTTTTAAAGAATGCTAGTGGAATATATTGAAATATAAGTTTCACAATACAAAAACGCATTAACAAAATGTAAATATTTTAGTGTTTGATAAATTAAGCAAAATATTTACTATTTAACTATAGTCATTCTAATTTTAACTGAGTGCTGAGAAATGAGGTCCTTGAAAAAACTATGCTTTTAAGGATCTTCTTACCTTAAAACCCAAGGTATCCAGCATGGCCACCACATCCGTCTTGCGAGGTCCTATATGACGACTAGGAAAATCCGATTTGGTGGGAAATAAAACCTCCTCCACAGGAGTGGTGGCCAAAAAGCGATGACCACATCTCAGCAGTAGACCTCGACTGTTCCTTCCCAAAAAACGTTGCATGGTTCAAGCGAATTAACTAAGGCACGTCCACGCCACGCGGATTTCAATCAATGACTGATTTTAGGCTGGAAATATTTTCCCATTTCAGTTGATAAGGCTGGCACTGATCATCTCAGCTTATCAGTTGCTCTCTCCATGAGAAGAAAATATTTAACCCTCAGAAACACCATTAAGACTTAACATTTGTTTTTCAATATTTTCGTTTTATTTCAAAACTTAAAACTCTTCAACAATTTGTAATAAAAATATTTTCAATATTATTTTTTTACCAATTCGTTAGCTTGTGGTTTTTCTTAGAGAAACATCAAACAATAACAAAAATGGTTTACAAAAGTGTCTCGCTAACAAGAAAAACATCATCACAACAAAATTGGGGAACACAATTCAAGATAACATTAATCAATATTAAATTTATGCGTATATAAACTGAAGCCGTTATCGTCTTTTGCCTACTTAACAATTGCATTTGGTAATGTATTGGAAACTTGCCGATTTCGAATCGAAATACTTTTCATAAAATTTTCCTAATCGTTTTGATTAACTTTCGGCTCCGCTGCCGCGATTGATATTTGTTTCTATAGCCATTTGCATTCGGGTTTACTTGCTTATTCATAATCGCTATCGTGTCTTTTGCATAATCGAAATTCAACAACTGCAATTGGTATGTAATTAAATACAATATATATCATTCAATTGGTATAGGTACATATATGGCTGCGTGTATATTTAACAATGTTGGTAAACTAATTTTACGGCTCGTGTCAGTCAGTTAACGTAATTTGATTAATCATTATTTTTTAGCATCCTCGACTAACTCGGCCCAAAAATGCACTGAGAGTTTAACACCTTAACACCACGAAGTGTGTGTATTTATCTGGATATTTGTTGGCTAGTGTAAGCCGTGTAAATTGATTAGTTAATATTAAGGAAAAGTTCAAGTTTAATTGAGTGTTCTGGTTAAAGGAATTAGAGCTAAACTTTGGTTAACGCTGAAAAAAGATGGAATAACATTTTGCCCTCTTCAGATTTTGGTTACAGTTTCGATAGCTATACTCTTTGTATATAAGTAGATATATATATATTGTATAAAAATCTTTGCTAAGTTATGATCAGTTGAGTTGCTGGTGCTGTCAATGTAGATGAGGTACGTTGCAAGAAGCCAAAATGGTTTGGTGCAAGAGTTGCTTGAAGAGTAAATATCCGATTTGCAAGGTTTGTATATATTTATAGAGATATATATGTAGTTGGGTTTATTTTTGCCTAAAACTGTTTATTATATTTACTATATTTATATTGCTTAGCGAAAGTTAAGTTTACTGAGATAAAAATCAATCCAAAATCAATAAAATATTTTAAATTAAAGTTAATTATAGTTAACACTTTATTTGTAATTGTAAGGTAGGTTTGATATATTTTATTTAGAGCTGAATAATTCCAAATTTGTTGCATAATTAATTATTACCAAACTTAAGGGTTGATTAGAGAATGCAATGAACTAACATTAGTTTTAGTTAAAAATTCTTCTACACTTTAGTTGTTTATTACTGATTAGAGCATAGGTTTTAAGAATAGGTTTTAGACTGATTTTTCTCTCAGTATAATAGATTTTGAGCTTGATTTCTTCGAGTGTATTTTAAAAGGGGACTTTAAATGTGTATGGACAACCTTCGGTTAACGATTGATGTGACTCCCCCAACTTGTCTATTGTTTGTTCTGCTCCTTGTCAAAGTTGGAGGTGAAAGTTCGGTTAAATTGAAACGGAAGCAATGGGGAGGCACTTGAACCACCGAGGGAACTGCTGGTAAGTGGTTCCCTCAGAGTGAACGACATCATGGGATTGTAGACCCCGGTGGAATGGGTGAGGGAACTGGTACTCACTCCGCTCGCCGAGCAAGTGGTAGTGGGTTCGCCGAAGCGAGAGGTGAAGGAGCTGCTGAAATTGTAGGGAACATAAGAAGAAGTACTGGTGGTGGTGGTAGTGGCGGTGGTGTCAAGGGATGTGGCGGTGGTGGTGGAGCGGAGATCCGAGCAACTGGCCCTGGGCGAAATGGAGGAGGGACCCGAATAGGAGTAGTTGCTGCCCGAGGGCAGCGAAAAGGAGGGGCCCGCATAGCTGCTGGACATGAATGAGGAGGTGCTCAAAGCGGTGGTGCTGGATGTGGCTGGAGTGGTGCTGCACAAGTCGCCGTAACCTTTGGCCGGCACCGAGGGCGAAACCACTGGCGAGCGGCTGGGCGAACGGGAGTGGGTCTGCCGCTCGATCTGTTTCTCGGTCAAGAACCGATCGTAGAAGGTCGAGGTCACGGTGGTGTGGCGGATCTCCAGCTTGCCGGGCTGATAGAGGGGTGTGCCGCCGGCACCACCGGGGGATCGGTGGTGGGGATCGTAGGTCTGACGATAGGGCGACACGGGCCGGGGAAACTATCGGTTGCACCGGCTGATCCCGTTGTGGTGGCGTGGATCTGGACTGGATCTGTGTGGAGGCGTGTGGCTGTGGTGCGGGACTCGTACGGGTGGCTCAACGGTGTGCGACAGGCCGAGCGTCGGGCATCGTCCGCGTATTTGGCGCAGGTCTCTTCTAGTTGTCTATCTACTTTGTGGTTAAACCCGGTTAAACTACTCCCGCTACTTAGTTCGCTACGATTATCAGCAAAATAATTTGGCAACAAGTTATCACGTCTTACCCTACTGCTCTCCCGATCCTTACGCTCCTCATCCTCCTCCTCCAATCGCCTTCGTCGCGGCGACAGCTCCCTGCTCACCTCCCTGTGCGATCGGTAATGCAGTGGACTCGTATCCCGGCCGCCCAGCGGACTTCTTCGCGACTCCGCCGAGCCCAGGGATCGATGCTCGGAGGTGATCCTAATGGAGGGGGCGTAGTCCCCGGTTCGGTGAATGCTCCTTCCCCTGCTCTCGCTGCGACTCAGACTTCTGCTCAGGCTGAGATCCTCCAGAGAACTCTTCTTGCTGGCGAAGTGCAGCGAGTTCGAGAAGAGCGAATCGATGTACCGCTGGCACTTTTCCTTCTGGTAGGGCTTCTCCTCGCACAGCGTGTCTATCGATTTGATGGAGTTTTTGATCGAACTCAGGCGGTCGTTGATGTTCTCCCCCGTTCGCAGCGGTACGCCCGTGTGGGTTCCAGTTCGGGTGATCGGAGAGGTCTCCTAGAAGGTAGAGAATATATTATGTTTAAAATGTAATCTATAATCTTTAGTATTTATACAACTGTGTTTGAGAGATCTTTCGTGACTATTTTTAAAGTTATCGAGTTAATATCGTTTTACAGTCTGGATATTACCCACTTACCCTCATGAGGCGACTACCCAAGGCATCCAGACCCTCCGAGCTGCTGGCGTAGCTGCGAGTGGCCGATGGTTGATCTGCAAGAGTCTTCTTAAGAATACGTTGAAGAATTTTAGTATTCTCCGTTAAACAGTCCAAAACCTCATTAGTGCTGCCCACCATTCGATCGCTGTTGTGGCGTGACTTCGACCGGGGCGCCTCCTCAAACTGGTCCTCATCTTCGTCCTCGTCCCGGAACCGTATGACCTTGGGGCTGGTGGGGCGGTAGTGGGTGGTGCTGCCGGAGTACGCCTCATCGCAATCGTCACGACGTAGGGCAGACTTGGGCGTAGTGGCGCCTTGGCGGCGGGGACTTTGCTCCCGGGACTTGGCAGCCCGGAATTCCTCGAAGGAGAGCGATGGTGAGATGACGTCCTTGAGCTTTTGATTGAATGCCTTGTAGTCCTTTTGGGTTTTGAAGTCAAACTTATGATCCTGCTCCAGGATGCGAATACGCTCCTCGAGCTGCTCGGCAGTGGGTGGTTCAGGTCTGCTGGGAGAACTGACTATTCTTTCCAGATTGTGCACTGGGGTCCTGGGCTTTTGCTCATCACGCATCTTCTGTCGCTTAATGTCTTCGATGGTGGGCGATCGGGAGCGAGACTTTGGTCGGGTTTTGGCTGGTGATTTCAGCTTTCCATCAAGGACTCGAATCCTGTGCTCAAGTTCTCCAGTTGTGGGTATCTCACTGTCATCCGGACTGGGGCTTAGTATCATTTCAAGGGGATGAATGGCTGGCTTTCTGTTGGGATCGTTCATTCGCTTGGCCAAGTTTTCCTTGGACTTGGATCTTACTAAATCAAGTACCCGATATTTGTACTCCAGGTCATCGGAAATGGGAAGATCGTTGGGATGCGGCTTGCGACGAGGTGGAGAGCAGTAGGGACTCTTCTTGGACCTTCTTTCGGGTGAGCGAGTTGGAGAAGGTGATCTCTGTCGATGTCTAGAAGGCGAAGTATATGGTGACTTGGCTGCCTTTCGCGATGGAGAGGTGTAAGGAGATTTAGTAGCAGCCTTTCGTGAAGGAGAAGTGTAAGGAGATTTAGATGCAGCATTCCGCGAAGGCGAAGTATAAGGAGATTTACTGGCCACCTTGCGTCCAGGACTGCGGGAACGATCTCTGACTGTTGCAGTTTCGTCCGTTTTTGTAGGTGTTTCCACAGGCAATGTCTCCTCATCATCCAGACCCTTACCCTCACAAAGTTCCAGGTACTTGTTCAAATCCGTTTCATGGGAAAGCGAATACTGCAGCTTGATTTTCCGCTCGATCTCATTCAATCGCTGTTCGACATCAATCTTCTCCACATCCTCAAGCAGTTTGATTTGACGCTCCAAGGAGCGGAAGCGGGATTCCAGCTCTTTGGTGGAAGGCAGGTGGACTGTTCTACGCTTCAGGTGATGCTTCACCGTGTTGGGTCCCCAATCGTAGTCCTCTGATTGTTCAGGTTCTGGTTTGTCTTCTTTTGCCGCCTTTTTTGGGATTTCTTTCTCCTCTGGTTTGGCGCTGGTGAAATCCTCGATTTCCTTGGTGAGATCACAGATAGCTTGAGCTTGCTCCACTTGCTCGGCACTTGGCTTGCTATCTGCTCGTATCAGGCGACCATCTTCGGATTTAATGAGATTACGATCGTTGAGTTGTTTCTCCAGCGCCTGGAAAAGATCTTCCAGTTCCTCAGTGTTGGCTCTAGTCAATCTCCTAACCTTTGAAGCTCTGGGCTCGTTGTCCATGAGGAGTACTACAGTTTTACTATTTGGGTCCACTGGTCCAAGATCGGTGGCATTGATCACCATTTTGTCGGGCAGTTCTTTTGCAGAAGAGTCTTTGCTAGTTTCCTTTTTTTCTGGCAGTTGCTTGTCTGATTCTTTGCTATTGGTTACCTCTGCTGAAGATGTTTCCTTTGGTTTGATTGTATCATTTTTCGGAACATCATTTTTATTTGTATTAGGTGTTTCTTTGGATTCCGATTTCTCAGTTTTGAGCTGGTCCTTTTTATTGGCGGGAACTTCTTGGGAATCGTTTGTTTTGGGTTTGGAATCGTTTGTTGAAGGCTTTTCCGAATCTGATTTCACTTCCGAAGATGTTTCCTTGGCTACTTCAGCTTTGGTTGCTTCCGATTTCTTTTTAGTATCATCTTTTGGTTTTTCTTTGATAGGGGATTTGGGTTTTTCTATCGCGGTCTCCTTAACTAGCTTTTCATCAACCGCTGCTTTCTCTTCTTTGACCAACTTTTCCGTAACTACCTCTTTTGCACGAGCCTGAGCTTTTTCCTCGTTTTCCAAAGTTTTGGTTTCCTTTGCTGCCTCCGGTTCAATTTTACGTTCAACAGGCTCTTCTAGTTTTTCAGCTTCGTCGCTTTTGACATGAAGGTTGTGGCAGTTCTTCTCCTGCTTTTTGCAAGAGTCACCTTCCTCCAGTTTTTCTGGTTTCACCTCAGGGACTTCATTTTCCGTCGGCATAGTGCCATTCTTGGCCCGTTCCTCCAACAATTGCTGCTCCAATTGTTCCAGGCGACGTGTGAGATCTTCAGTTGTGGGCTTGGGCTCACCTTTCGGCTGCTTTGGCTCACTATCCTTGTTGAGGAGCATTTTGATGTTGATGCTAATGTTGATGGGCTTGTGGGCGTCCACTTCCTCCAGCTCACCAATGTTCTGGGTGTATCTGACAAGCTCCTTGCCAGTGGCGTCGATTGTCTCCGTGCTCAAACGCCTAGGGGAGCCACTGTCATCGCTCCGGGGAGCTGCTGACCTCTGACGCTCCCTCATCGCCTCCAGCAGCTTGAGACTGTTCTCGCTCAGCTGCTTCTCCAGCGCCAGGACACGCTGCTCCAGCTGTGCCTCCGCCTCCAGGGCCTTGGCTTGATGGGAGGTGCTGGGCTGGTCATCGGGCGGGAGTTTGACCTTCGATGCAACTTCGGAATCACTTGCACAGCGCTGCTTGTAGAACTTCTTGTAGAGTTGCCTCTCCAGGAACTGCAATCGGTTCTCCAGATCGGCCCGGGAGGGTAAATCAGAGAACCGACGCACCATGCGCTGCTGCCAGGGATCATGGTTTGCCGCTCTGTAGTAAGCCGTGTTTGCAGGTGCTTCCGAGGTCTCATCGCCCATGGGCGCGGGTCGTTGGAGTAGATGGTTCCTCTGCCTCCTCTGTGGATTTATCTCGCTGGGCTTGAGGTTCTCCTCGCCGGGTGATTGGCCTCGCATCTTGCTCTGCAGCTCCTCGATCAGAGCCTGCTGTTGGTGGAGAACGGGTTCGGCTAGGATGGGACGCTCCTTCGGTGGTGGAGGCGGTGGAGGTGGGTCTGGTATGTGTGCCTCGATTGCCACATCCACGTGCTTTGGTTGTGTGCTCTTCGACTCTTTCTTCTCACCCCCGTGCAGTGCCTCGAAACGACTTTCCAGATCCTCCGTCGATGGCGGGGGTTTCTTCTCCTCCACTGACTCTGAGATCACCTCCTGCTGGATTCGCTCAAGAGCTTCATCAACAGTTTCGCTTTGAGCGGCAAAATGATTTTTGCTACTCATGCGACGCTTCAAGGTTTCGTAGCGCTTTTCCAGATCCTCCGTTGATGGCGGTTCTGAAGCTCTTCTCTGGTTCTTGCCCTTTTGCTGACCTTCCTCTGGTAGCTCAGATTCTTCAGCATTCTTCTTGGGGATCTCCAACTTCTCGTCACTAGCTTTGCAATCTTCTTTAACGATCTTCTCAGCCTGTTCTTCCTCGTCAACTTTCTTCTGCTCTTTTGCTAATGTGGTATTAACTTCTTTAATCTTGTCATCAAAAGATTTCATGGACTTTTGTGCCTTTTCTTCTTCTTTTGATGTTTGATTTTTTGGTACTGACTTTGTTTGCTCTGCCTCTTTGGTTATTTCCATGTTGGTTGTGCTCATCTGTTTTTCCAAGGCATTGAACCTTTTTTCTAGTTCCTCTGTGGATGGCGGAGATTTTCTAGGAGTCTTAACCGTCTCCGGTTCTTTGCTAGTTGATTTGACTTCAGAACCAGACTTTTTGGGTTCAATCGTTTTTGAATCCGTTTTGGTTTCGACTTTTTCAGAATCATTTTTTTTTGCGGCTTCACCTCTTTCCTTATTTTTGTCGGGATTCTTGGAAACTTCTGTTACTTTTAAATCGTTAAATTTTTCTGAATCAGATTTCTTAATGGTTTCATTATTTTTCGATAATTGTTTATTTCTGTTGGGTGATGTTACTGATTTTTGTGAATCCTTCGCCGATTCGGAGCTCTGGGTTAGAGGTTCTTTTTCAGGTTTTGGGGACTCAATTTTACTAGATTTACTTTCCTGGGCTTGGATTTCCTTTGGTGATACAGGGTTCTCCTTAGTTTTCAGGCTTTTTTGATCACCATCTTTGGTATCCTTTGTAGCAGTGGTTGACTGAATGTCCTCGGACTTCTGCGTTATCTTTTCGGACTCTTGTGGCTCTTTTATTACATTGGATGACTCTTCATCAGGCGGTTCCTTCTTAGTTTTGGATGGGCTGCTCTTTTGTACACTCATTTTGCGTTCTAGGGCATTGAAACGATCTTCCAGTTCCGCAGTTGATGGAAGTTTTTTAAGGCGTGGTTGATCGGCTCCCTTTTCAGCGCTTTCTTTTTCTTTCGCATTGCTGGTTTCGGTTTTCGCTGAAGTTTCCTTTGTATCAGATTGAACCTCCTCGGACTTGTGCAGCTTGCTTGTTTTCTCGCTATCCTTCTGCTCCTTGGAACTGCTGCCACTTGGCGGTTCCTCTTCCTTAATATCAATGGGTGTCTTGGAACTAGATTCACTGGAGCTCAATTGTTTTGTTAAGGAATTGAAACGTGTTTCGAGATCGGCGGTGGAGGGAATTCTCTCGGACTTATTCGGAAGGTCAGTCTCCATTTCGGAGAGCTCTTTACGCTGCTTCTCGGCACTTAGTTGTTTTTCAAGGGTGTTGAACCGCTCCTCCAGAGCAGCTGTGCTGGGAATGTACTTTGATTGCCTGTCTCCGTTCGGCTGATCCTGGCTGATCCTTCGCTCTAGGGCCTGATATCGTTCCTCGATCTCAATGGTCGATGAGCGGGTCAGTGTTTTGCGTCTCGGATCTCTTCTTTTCCGGGTGGCATTACTCAATAGACCAGCTGTGGGAGGAGGTGGCTTGTACCCGGTATTTTCCTCTATCGTCATGCTCAGGAGTTCTTTGTAGTCGTCCTTGTTCTCACCTGGAATGTTGTCGTCCCGAATCTGAGGCACTTTACCATCCATCTGCATACTATCGTCCTCCTCTTTTGTGAAGAGTGGAGGCAGTGACTGGTATTCCCTATCCCCACTATGTCCCTCAACCTTCTCCCTTTCTTCCAGGTAAATTGCACTAGTGTCCGTCTCTTCTTCATTGAGCGAGTAGGATAGCTCCAGGCGATTGGGGCGTTCCACGCTGTTAACCCTCTCGAAATACTGATTAGTGACCCCATTGTCGTTCACATCGAAACGTTTTTGGTCTACCAGCAAATCTTCGTCGGCTTCACTTTTCATTTTAGGTGTGGCTATGGGACTAGTAGATGTCATGCATAAGATTTCCGTTTCGCTTTGAATTTTTAGTGTTTCCAGCTTGTAGCTGTCCAGATCCAATTCCTTGTCAAAACCAAAACGGCCACTTTCCGTGGCACTATCCTCCGCTGGATCTACAGCATCCGCCTCCTCCTTCACAGCCGGCTCCTTCTCATCGCCACTATCCGTACCCATCAGCATAAAGGGAATCTCATGGCTGCTAGGAGCCCAGGACTTGGGTCTCTGTCGCTCCAAACTCGCATCCCTGGATCCGCTCAACTGCTTCTGCTCCTTGAGTTTGCGTGCCAGTTTCGCCTTGTGCTTGGGACTCTTTTCAATGGACTTTGGGTCATCATCGTCGCAGAGGCTGGTGTCCGTGCTGGATCCTTCTGCTGCCCCAAGATCCTGCTCTCCATCGCTGTCCTCGCTGTAGGAGGAGCTATCGCTTTTACCGAATCGAGTGCGCAGCTTTTGGGTCTTTACGGAGCTCACATCGATTCCCTCCCGCACCATGGCCGCCCGATCCGCCTTGATCTCCTTCCAAGTCAGACTATCCCGTCGTCTTCGGCTGGGGTCTGTATCTCTCCACAGGAGAGTCTCCCCCCTTCTCAACTGCTTTTCTGTGGCGGGTTTAGTGTGAAGAACTGCAGGAAGAGATGGCTTGCGAGCGGGTGGAATGGCGCCCAAAGGTGCTCCCACCCGTTTTCCCTTGTTGGTCACAATGGCCGGACGACCGAGAAGCAATTGATTCACTTGCACAGCCGTCTGGCAGTTGCTCGCCGGACCAGTTCCTTGACGGGATGCCGTGGAGCAGGCTGTGGTTAGGATGACATGAGCCTGCTTCTGGCGCTCCCTCAGCCGATCGTACTGCTTCTTCAGCAGGGATATATCCAAGGCCAGGCGGTCCTTCTGCTCCACTTGCTGTTTGCCAGTCGCCGCCGCCGGACCCACAGATCCACGTCTGCCCCAATTCAAGCCAAAAACGGTGGCCACCGCTATGCGCTCCTCATCCGAATGGGTGTCCTCCTCGTCGTAGTAGAGCCTTTATAAAAGTTAGGAATATAATATGTTGAGTTTCATTGAATTTCGTAAAACTCACTGCAATCCCTGTTTGTGACGCAGAGGGGCTATGTTGTAGAGGTGCTTATCCCTCAGCTGCCTCAAATCCGCAATGGGTCCAAGCTTCACAACACGCTCAATGAGTCCATTGGAGTCCACCAGGTGGCCATTGAGAAGCTCACTGGAGTAGGATCCCATCTTGCCATAGAACTCATCCGCAGATCGGACACTGAGTACACGCCTTTAGAGTAATTAAAAGTATTAGATTTTCCGAACTAGCATAAAATGGACTTAAATTCATTCATTTTGATGTATTTGTGACCAACCCATAAAAAACAATGTATAAACTTTTTATATGAACAAACCCCATACAAAAACTTTTTAAGAGCTTATCCATTCAATTTCCCAAGTCAATTCTTGACCTTGACCTCCTCCAAGCCTTTTTCTAGCTTACATTTAGCATAGTTCAATGTCGTTCGCTTTTCTATTTTGTTGATATTTACAAAACTTGTTTTCTACAGAGCCATAAAAAGTTCCACAACGTCTGAACATGAAATTCCTGGTGTGTAAAAAGCGAACGGAATTGCTAAATTGCATTTGGCAAGCGGGAAAAACTCTTGCCAAAATTCCAGCAGCCTTGACACAAATTCTCGCCATATACTGCGGCAATTGTTTGGCCAGCCACCCACCAAAAACCCACCCAATTCCTTCACACGGACTGAATACTTATTGCTGTATTCACAATTATGCATTCAATTACAATTAAGAAAATACCGGAATTAGGCGTAATGTCTTTCAGATCTGATATGTAAATTAAATTAATTTCATAAGGAATTCATTTCAACTAAGGAATTCTTAATTTAGTTTTAGCTTTATAATATTTGGGGCGTAAAGTGTTAAATCCAATTCTTCGACTTAAATTTGCATATTAGGTTTTCATTACTTGTTAAGCATGTCTATGATTATATAATTATATCTTGACTTGCTTATTCTCCGATACTCACTCTTCGAGCAAACTCCAGAGGACGAGGGCGGTGCGCAGGAGGACGTCGCTGCCCTCGATGAGGACCAGGTCCCAGACGCGCAGGACACAGGACATGGGCAGGCAGGTGCAGAACATGGTGAGGAACCACTGCATGGTGAAGACGTTGGTCAGCGGCGGCTCGAAGGCGTTCTCCACGGGTCCCTGCAGTCGCTGCAGATGCTTCGCGAGGCGTGGCAGTCGCGTCTGCATCAACTCCCGGAAGACGCCCATGTCTGCCTGCAGGCCGCCCATCGATCCGCAGAAATAGCCGGTGGGCAGGACGCCCTCCACCAGGTAGATCATGACCTTCATGGACTCCTCCTCCTCCTTGTCCATCACCTGCAGTATGAGGGCGCCCAGCATGTTGAAGCCCTTAAAAAGAAAACGTTTTTCACATTCAGCACTGCAGGCTGTAGACAACGACTGGGATCCTTTGAGGAGCACTCACCTGGCAATAGCCCACCTCGGGGTTGTAGCGCGCATAGCCGAGCAGGATGCGCTTGAGCTTGGCCTGGTTAATGGAGCCCGCGGGGCCGGTGCACAGATTCGAGCCAGTGCGATGCAGATCCTAAACGTGGGCGAGTCATTTATGATTCCCTTGGGGCAACAGATTGTCCGTGACTGGAGCACTCACCTTGACGATTTGGATGCCCAGCTCCTCGTCGTCCTCGCGCCACTCCTCGCAGAAGCACTTCTCCCGCTGCTGCGCCCAGTCCACATTCTTCGACTTGAGGTACTTGTCCGCCAGCGAGAGCCACAACTGCGGAAGGTAGTTAACTTGAATTATACATACGCCATACCAAAAAAAAAGCAGAGTATTTAAAAAACACATATGTCTTCAATTGGATTAAGTTATTTTAAATAAGAATTTTAATTAAAGGATTCAATTTAAGTTTGCTCATAACACTTCCTAATTCTATAGATATTTTAGAATGTTTGCCACATTGCAGGTATTTATTTAATCTAGTTTAATAGCCTGCTATAGTAAATAATAAATCCAATTAATATTTTCCCCACAACACATGGCCTTATGTAAACGAATCTCACCTTGCGTCGGAACTCGGGTGGAGTGCCTCCAGGCAGGCGGGCCACCAGCTTCATCGCATGCAGCCACTGGTTGTAATCCGAGGTGGCCTCATCATCTGCGGCAGCGGGGGCGGAGGGGGCGTGGCCGGATCCGGAGGCGGTGGGGCTGGTACCGTGACCTCCGCCGTTGCGGGCCAGCATGGTGTTGTTGGTGCTGCCGGGGCTTCTATTGTTGCCGCTGGGGGTGGTGCAGCTGGTGGTGCCGAGGGCGGTGGTGGTGGTGCTGCGGCTGTTGCTGGTGGTGCTGGTGGTGGTGGTGGTGGGCGAGGTTAGGCGGGCACTGCTAATGGCTTTCTGTGGCGGTGGTGAGAGGCTAAAACGCATTTTAGGCTGTGCATCGTCTGCAAAAGTTAAGCAAAATTCTTGTATTATATAGCATACTTTCGGTCGGCGGGGCGGATTAAGTTATTAGTTGTCTATTTTCAAATAGGATTTGGGCTCTTGGCTTCTGGATCCTTAGCACTTACAATATCCGTGCAGTATGCAAACTTTACATATACAGAAATTCGTAATATAATAGATATATAGAGTTGGTAGTTGGCACAATTTACGTTTTAAGAGCGCGCAAAAGAGAGAAGAAGAAAGAATACAAAAGATATATATATATATATTTATATTCAAATATTTTTATGGCTTAGACACTTAATCAATCAAGTGCTCTGATCCAAATGCTTGCGAAATGTCGATGAGCGAAAAAAATTGAGAGCGACAAAAATGCGGCATGCAGTTTTTGGTGGAGGAAGATGCGGTTTGTGGCACATCCTTGAGAAAAATTTTGATGAAAGTGGAAAAACCAAACCAAAGCCAAGCCAAAATGACACAAAACACTCCATTGAAAAAGCCACCCACGCACCCGAGTGTCTGTCTTTGTGTTAAATTGACCATGACATTTAGTTCACTCGACAAGTGAGATGCGGATGAGAATGTGTGGGCGATATGTGTCCCGGCGTTCCACGTAAAACATAGTTAGCTGGTGAGATCTCCGTGCGATGGTGACAACCTGACACGAGGACAATATCCTCCTGGCTCAACTTTATCGGCTTCTTGGCTGCAGACAACTGCCGTCAGGCATTTTATGCCCACATACTCAGCACTAAAGGTCATGTTAATAAAAAATATATGATGTCCCGGGATTGTTTTACGATAGCAGCATAAATTCAGATTGCGCTCGCCTGCACACAGATTGGCTTAGGTTAAAGTTTTTCCCACCAATCGATATTTTTTTATTTTTGCCCAAGCTCCTGAATTGAAATGCTCTCGTGTGAGCTATAGAAACCCGCTTTATGGCTGATAATTTGATTTCCGTTTTATTTTTTTCTTATGTTGCGTGTTTCCAGCTTATCAAGTGAATGCTGCTCGAGCGAAACGTGAGTCAAATTTAAAATCTAAAATCTGGATTTTTCTCGGGCTCACACCAAAGCTTTTGCTGAGAAATAAAAAGAGAATGCGTATGTGCGGGAATAAAATTTTCGTTTTAAAGAATTTCCCGGGAAATTGGTGTAATTGTTTGCGTTGAAGAATCCATTAAAATGGAGCCTTAACGTAGATACTAAAATGGTTAGCAAAATCTCTGATTACTTTTACAGTTCTACTTCTTTAATTTAAACATTCAGATTTATAAGGCTTTATAAAATTATTCATTGGAAGAAACTTATATTACTCAAGTTTAATGGTAGTTTGAATAAAAAACGTATGTAGAAAATATGTGTAAACTGTGCCTTAAAAATCTGTAGGCATAAGATATTGGCTTTCATATTTATTTGTATACCTCTTTTGGAAAATAGTCAAAGTATGTTCTTGTTAAGCATACCAAACTGTATTTGTCGTCATGATTGCTGTTTTTCTTCTTTGCCTTCCATCGCTTATTTACGTGCTTATGCAAATCCACACATATATAGTATGTATGGCATACCCGAAATGTTTACTCCTTCGAAGAAAGGCATTTGTATAATGAAGAGGCATTGCCTTTTCCCAAAGTTAAAGCTAAGCAAACATAGGCATGTTTACTCTCAGCAAATTGGAGAATATCCTGGGAGAAGGAGCAGGCTTTCATGCCTCCAGCAAACTGGAGGACCAGCATCGGGAGACCCCTACCCAGGCTAATGAAATACTAATTGCGCCGACTCTTATGTAATGGGTTCCCTAACTTCGCACCAATTAGGCGCCGGACATAAAAACATTCTTTATGGCCAGAGGATGAACTGGCCGCCACGGGGGCCTCATATTTTTCCTTACTTCAAGTGCATTTTCCATAAGAGATTTATGTGCGAATGACAATGAGGAGCATTTCTTTATTGTGCGCAAGTGAGTGTAATTATTTTAAATGCGCCTGCCCAAGGACATGGACTATACGAGTATTTGTCTAGCTCGCTGGCGTGTCAAGGCTGTGATAGTTAGCCCACATTTTGGCTGAATGTTTGAGCCTTGACCAAAACTAAACTTCAGCCAGCATCACGTGCGTGTGGGCCCTGTATGGTGTGTTTTTTTGTGTGTGCTTTGTGTACTCAACCATAAAAACACGTAAGGCATGACAGTTGGTTTAATGAGCCGAAAGAATATGGGTCCTGTCAGCTATTTATATAGGTGAAGAAGAAATGAAAAAGCCGTGAAAAGTTTACCGTTATGGTAGAAGCAAAGAAAAATGTCCTAAATCAAGAATATTGTCTCGAGAAAAAAGTTTCTGGTGTTAGTAATTGTTACATCTAAGTTAGAATATTTTGGTATCCTGTGAAAATATAACAATGTTTGATTTAAACGGTTAATAACTAAATATTGAAAAATGGTAGGTCGGGTAAATATAATAATGAAGGCGGTAAAATCTGATTTACTGCAAAACCAGCAATGTCAAAACAAATGTTTAACAGATACTCGTTTTTTTTCTTAGTGTGGCAATAACCTTGTACTACCCTAAAACATTTTTAGTACGCCGGGCTAAGACTTTACTTAAATTTGGCTTCCCTTTGGCCACCTTTTGAGCAGTTCAAAAGAGATTTACTTTACTTTATGTAATGCTCATATCCCCATTGAAATTCCGTGTGAAAGCAGCCAACGTTGTGTACTTAAACCGCATTTATCCCTTGGGATTGCATGACCCCAAAAGAAGTGAACTGCGTCTGGATGAGGGGAAATTCGAGGAGCGTCTGTGTGTCTCCGTCAACTTTCTTCTGGACCAATCTGCGATGCAGTTGGCCAGAGACTTATGTATATAGGAGACTCGGAAGCGCAGGCACGTCCTAAGCCATTAGTGTCAATTCAGGCGTAAGGCTGCTAATGAATTCCCCAGTGAACGGCCATCCAGATGATAAATTTAATACTCGCTGGTTCATTAAACTACTGCAATGCTTAACCCCAATGATTATCGGCTTAGCGATTGCGATTCGCCTTTATCACGCGGTCCCAGACAAAAGCACTTCAGCATGCGATTATGCAAAAGGGAGCGAGGGAAATTAAGGGGCAGAGAAAAGGAAAATAAAGGAAAAATTGCGAAGGGTAAATGCTGCTTTTGATGGCTTACATAATGGCTCCCCCAGGAACACTCCTCTCGTTGTTGGTCTTTCTGCTGTTGCAGTTTTTGCAATCTCGACACAAGTGGTCCTGTATTTAACTTTGATTACATTTCCGAATAACCGCCCAAAAGCATTACTCATACGTCACGTGGGTCTTCTTCAAGTCTTGCTATAGGAACGCCAATCAATTTGCATCATACGGACTGAAGCTGCCTGTCAATTCCAATAAGCCCGGCTCTCAAAACTTAAGTGAACATTGTGTCCTGCCAAAAGCAAGAACATTTTTTATTTTCCCCTTAACTTTTCCATCTGCGTCTGCAGCTACATAAGTTTGATAAGGGATCTGTGCTTGTGACAGCCGAGTTTGTCCTTGGCTTTACTTTAAAACTTTTAAGAAAATGAGTTTGCTACCCAATCAAGATGGTATTTAAATTTACAAGACGGTACATTCTACTCAGCTTATTGTTCAGAAAAGCTTTTAATTCAATGCAGAAACCTCTTACTATTTATAAGGATTAAAACCAATTATTATCCCTTTGAATACATTTTGATACCCTGGATAGCAACATTGCGTTATCATCCGCTAAACTTTAGCTCGGATTTCCGGAACCTCTCGTAATCGGCACACGTGTGTGCACATGTCCAAAGTCCTTTCTACCGCCTACACAGCAGCTCGTGTCACTTTGCATTGCCATAAACGCGACGGGCGTCATAAATAAACCGCTCAGTCAGTATAAAGTAAACTGCGACGCAGTAATTACAATTTGATGGGAAAATGTGAAAAGTGTTGGTGAAATTGAGAAAAAAATCAAAAACCAAAACAGGAAACACGGGCAAACACGTACACGCAGACGAGTTATAAAGCCAGCAGCAGACGCGTGTGTTTAGAGAAATCAGCAGAGCGTAAAATGATTGCTGAAATAGGTGGGAAAAACAGGAAGAACAACAGCAACAACTCGGCCAACATGCAACAGATGTACATATGTATGTATGTGTGGGTGTGGAGTCATAGGGCAGCGATTATTACAAAGTGTTGTAAATAGGATTCTAACAAAAAACACAATACAAAAAACGGCTGCGAAAAATTCAAATTATTTGTGCACTGCCCGGGGTTGGATAAATGTTTTAAATGGGGTCGAACGCCTCCAACACTGCGACATGGAAAAATAATGGAAATTTATGCCAGCAAGGGGGAAAGCCCTTGCCCTACGAAAATGCAAATGTTAATTACAAGCGGCCGCCAAAATTAGAATTGTGTGCGTTTAGCATGAGTAATACTTATGTATGTATGCCTCGACTGTGTGGATGTGCACGTGTATGCGATGTGTTAGTATGTGTGCGTTAGAGCGGACCTCATTTAAAACATAATTTTTAAATTAGCTCTTAATCAATTTTATGCTATAACTTTAATAGAAAATCCAAAAAAGTTTCAGTTCATATTAATTAAAGTTACTTTTAAATGTTGAATAATATTTTTTTAAGACCACGAGTCGTATGTGTGATTTCTGTTGCAAACAGTTAAACAGTTAAAAAGAAAGCCTTTTTGATAAATTAAATTTAATTCGAAAACTAATTAATAAATGATGCAAGATAACAGGTCCTTCTAATACTGTTGTATTCTTAAAATGAAATTAAAATTTTTATAAATATAGTCTTTTTAAGGTCCGCTCTACTGTTTGTGTGCCCAACGAATATTGTATGATATATGCAGCAGTTTCTCTTTTGAACTTCTTTTGCATAAATTACCTTTTCGTTGTTATTTGGTTGGTTTTAAACGTTGTTTAACAAATAAGGTAAAGAAAGAGAGAGATAGAGAGAGCAAGAGTTAAATCTTTGTTTCAAAACGAGCATAAAGATCGAAGGCAAAGCAAATCGCTTATATATTTGCTTTGAGGCGCGCTAAAAAAACAAAAGGGAAAAGACATCGATCGACAGTTAATAGTCTTGAAAGGTATGTTAATATATATGTACATACACACACACATAGAGAAAGAGAGAATGAGTGTTAGCTGGTTAGTCTGTGCGGCTTGGCATAGTTACCCATGTTAAGTTAACGTGCGCCTGACGGTATGCTATGATTTCTGCCACTGCTCGCAGCGGCTCTTTGTTGTTGCTGCTGCAGTTAGTAGTTTTTGTTGTGGGGATTCTCTATTTATGGTTTTACATTTTTGCTTTACGTTGTACTTGTTGTTGTTCTTGATGTAGTAGTTGTTGTTGTTGTTGTTGCTCTGGCCTATTGTATTATTTACACAAGATTTACATAAATACACATAGAGACACTTATATATAAGCATGCGAATCTATAAATACGTCTTTGGTTATAAAGCTATTTGGATAGGTATTTGTGGCATGCTGAAGTTATATAATTTGGCGAGGACTGTAGACTGGCACTCTCACACAAAAACATATCGCCGTGACTCAAATGTCATTGAAAACTATCTGGTTTGCCTTGCAGAAGAGCTCAAAAAACATTCAACTCACACACACCATTGTAAGGGGAAAAAAAGAGGGACAACCTTGACAACTAAGAAACTGCAGACCCAGTTCCCAAAGCTTGGCCAGGTGACTGCTGACTTGGGGGAAAACAGTAAGAAAAAGCAGCGTCTTAATGTTACACTCAAAATATAGATGAGGAAATCCTTCTTTATATAGGACCCAAACATCCAGATGACTCGTAACTTAAAAATACCTAAAAAGACCAAATTCAAACTGCCTGACAAACATTTTTTAATTAGTCTCTTAGATTTTTTTTTTAGCAGTTTCTAACGTTTATTATAATTTTGTTATAATAAATTAATACTGGGCCTACTTTCAATATTTACTCATACCAAAATAATCCAAATTAAAGTACTTGAAGTAAAAATCGATTATTATCGTTTTTTATTAACTATTTTTCTTTCACTATAGCCAAAGCCACTGTACTACTTGTGGTGCACTCATCGATCCCCCGCCTTACTGGCCACTGTCTTGACCCACTTTCGTTGTTACGTTTGCTGCAACCCCTGTTCTGGCCAAGTAATTACCTTTGAGCCGGAATTCGTTTTTAAATTTTCATGGCATTTAAATGTATAATTCTGCACGAGCTGCTGGGACAAGCCTAATAAGCGTAATACTAAGGATTGTGGCCATTAGGCTCTGACAGGCTTTCATTATTTTGTGGGGTAAGGTAAACAGAGCTTAAGTCCACGTGGCATTTAATTATGGTATCAGCTTTAAGCCCAAAGGTAGCAGAAATTGGGTTGGTTTTGATGTGGCTATTAATTAAGAACTGCCATCTAAAGTTGCTTTGAACTTCTCTTAACTTTTCCCCCATTAACTTGCTTTTATAATGCTATTTTTTCCGTGCTAAACGCTTGCCGCTCATCAAAGTTGCTGAACTGCTGCATAATGGATTTGAATGGCTTGGCCCAGATATATGGATTAAAGCCGCGCGGCCTTCAACTCTTCTGCCGTTATTTTTTTGTGGGGCATTCTTTGTAGTTATGCAATCCACAATCAACTATTTTTTGCCAAACAAAGCCAGTTCGTGAGCCTTTTCGGTGGGCGAGTGTGAGAGCGTGACATGAATCACACTCGTCGCACACACTGCACAACAATGGCAACAATAATAGCTGGTCATATCAGCCAGGGCCAAAAGAGGCACCTCATGTGTGTGTGTGTGGCAGCCATCAAAACAAGGCAAGAGGTTGGTCATTCTACCAATATCCAGTGCCAACGGGAAATGAACCAGAAAAACGCATTAAAAGTGGCGTTCGCTTTTAATGAAATTTTCGATTGCATGCTTTTAGGCGAGTGCAGTTTTTAATTGCATTTTCCTAGGCTCGCCACTCGATCGATAAAATTGTACTATTCCATTACGTACGCTTCTGTTATTTCTTGGGGCCACCACTTGGAATTCAATTAGAAAGTGTTATTCCGCTCCTCCTGAATAAGTTAAATAATAAATAAATAAATACATGGTAATGGCATGCCACGATACTTTTGCACGCGCTTTTTTTATGGCCCCTGTTTTCTAGCTACCACTGCTATTTTGGTCGCCGAATATCAAGGGTAACACAAACACACACACACACTCACCCACAAAAAGAAAGAGAGGGTCTAAAAAGGCGAGAGAGACGGAGATGATATAAAAACATAGATAAGACAGGCAAAAATGCTTGTGGAGGCCAGTCCACACGTTTGTTATTTCAAACCGCTGGTTCACACACCCACACACACACACACTGTCACTCTCACGCACACAGACAGATTTTGTATTTTTTTTTAGTGCTGCTTGGGTGTGTGAGTGTGTGGCCCGTCAGACAGTCTCAATGCTGCGCTGTGTCGTCATCAACTCAGCCTCCTCGTTTCGGGGCATACTCACACTGTCACACGCATAGGCTTCACCTGCCCACAACTCTCACACATACACTCACACAGCCACAGGACACAACAAAGTTCATTCAATAAAAGCAAACACACCCACACATACATGCACGTTGCGTGACGCTTGCGAGGATTTTTTCAGCGTTCAGCGTAGAGCTTTCTGTTTTTCTCTGGCTTTTCGGTTCCGCACTTCACGATCCACACAGCTGAGAGTTCCGCACTTGACTGACGGCAATAGTTTGGCAAAAGCAAAATCAAGCCCCCAGCTGTCAGTGGGGAGCCTGCGCAGTGGATATCCCCCTGCCACCCACACACGCACACTTTGACATTTAGTACACCAAAAAAAATTATATGTCCTGACTACAAAACTTATAAAAATTAATTAGCCAATTCTAAACTTGGCTGACAAAAGTTTGCTGAGTAAACGCTTGGGAATTATAAGCCTGCTCGATGTACAAAATATTGCTTACTGCAAGTTGTGCATAAAATAGGTGGCTAATAAAATCACAAGGAGGAAAAATAACTAGTTTTTAAAGAACTAACACGATTCAAAGTATTGAATTTTAATTGTGGTTTTTAGGGTAGTAATCAGCTTGTTACTTATTCCATACCCAAATTGTATCCTATTCACTGCCGGATTGATCATATCCTTTGATTATAATACTTGCTATAGAATAGCACAGCATACTTACCGCTCTCAACGACAAGCACTGCGGTGACGAACTCGCAAAGGACCTCCTGATGTCGTTGCAATCTATCCCTGGCTATAAGGACCCTTTCGAGTAAATACCCCAGCATCAGGATCTCCACCTTCAGGATGGCACAGACATCGATAAGCTTGTGCACATCCAATCGCTCCAGGGTGGACCGATTGCCGACCATGCCGCTGGCCAATCTGGCCAATTGTCCTTTCTTCTCCTTCGAGGATCGGCTGCGGAAAACAGGATCCCTACAGCAGCGTCTCATGCGAGTGGCCAACTGTTCCTGCCTGCCGTAGATGTCGCATAGCAATGCATCGAGTAGCTTCTTGGTATCACTAGAGGACGGTATACCGAATTTCCAGCTATCATGCTTATGCTAATGCCTCACCTCATTTCGTCGGCTTGTTGATTAGGCTCAGCAGTTGGTGGATTACTTTTAATTTAAACAATTGCATTGGTCTTGAATTGCCTGGGAATTTTTTAACTTTTTCTTTTTATACAAAAAGCAAAACGAAGAACTTAAATTAACATAATAATCAACGCGAGTGACGTTTAGGTGTTTTCTTAAAATGTTCTTTATTTTTTGTCTTTTTCACATTACATTTTGAAATTTGTTATTGATAGATTTCTTTAAGGTTGCTTTAATGGAAGGTAAATTTTCGATGAAAGATGAATTACTTGTTGATCAGCGTAAAATTTTCAAATTGCATAAAAACCATAAAATTGTGTATAAAGTTTAAAACGATCTGAGCGTGATAAAATGCTTGGATTTGATTTGAATTCTGAAGTTCTTTCGGTAAACCAAGTCCTAGTAAAAGGTGCGATCCATGTGCGTGTTCAGGGAGAAATTGCGATACATGCCGAAACGAACGACTTCGTTTGAGAAATTCTGGGGCAGAGGATAGAAACGCTTGGGTATGGTATAGGCATTGGGTGCATAGTAACCATATTCCGAGTTGCAGGTGCGGTACATTGTGTTGGAGTCCGTCTCCACGCCATAGCCCTTGAAACTATCTGTTGGAGAAATATTACAGAATTAAATAAATTAAAGAAGGAAATCCTCCAACTCACAGGGACACTTGATGTCCTCCCGCTTGTGCAGATTCTCATAGAGTTTGGCGGTCCTGACGACGGGCCTTCTTTTTTGAAACTTGGCAAACTCAACCTCCGGATTGAAGGTCTCAAACTTGTCACAATACTGCTCACACATGTTCTCAGTTTAACTAGTGGAAAATTTAATAATTATTAAACGCGACGTGTGCTTGGGTCTACCAAACAATAATGCCTAGTGCTATTGAACCAACAGGACAACTGCCAAAGAGGTTGCTATGTTTGAATTTGTTTGACAGCCGCCTGAGTGAGGGGAAAAGTCAAAAACTCAGCGCCTGCGCCTGGCCAACCGCTTTGACAGCTCGCGTGACAGTTGTGGCCTGGCCAACCCACCCCGCGGAAAATACACAAATATACACAACTCAACTCAACACACAACAATTCCCAGCAATTTTCACTCAACGATGTATAGGATGTGCAACCTATCGAACCTGCTGAACTTCATCATCTGCATAGCCAGTTTTAGCCAGACTTTCGATGGAACTCTGGCCCTCAAGAGGGGCCCTCATCATCCACGGGGCGAAACCCGGAGAGTGGACCAACATCTCACCCACGAGGAGCAGTGAGTGGGGGGGGAGCAGGAAAATTACCTGAAAATATTTTAAATATTTCCATTATTTCAGTCGCATCGATGACGATTTGCGGGAAATGGGCGTGCAGGCCAATCTGGAGGACTTAAGCGAAGAGGAGAAAATCTTCTATATGTTTAAGGTGGGGCCTTTATTAAATCGCTTATTATATAGTGCCTGCTACTGAATAGTTTTATAATTTTAGGCCCATGACAATGACAATAATAATGCCCTAGACGGTTTGGAGATGATTCAGTCCGCCATGCATCACAACTATGACTACTTTAAAAACAACGAACGGGATGAATACTTGCAAAATGCCACCGATGAGCTGGAACACTTTATAGGTAAGGAATTCTTTATCGTTTGAACGAGAAATCATTACATCAGTTATTACGACAAGCCAACAATTGTAAGGGCAGAGTTGATGAATAATTCAACAAAAATAATAGTTCTTCTTTTATTTAAACTTTATTTATTAGTCGAAAATAATTGAAACGGCATATTTAAAGATTTTACTTTATTAAATGAATATTACTCAAATATTTGTTACTATTTTGTCTTTCACAGAAGCCATTGACAAGTTTTTGCTGATTGCCGATGACAATAACGATGGTCTGCTGCACTATCCGGAATTTGTTAAGGCCATAACCGGCGGCAAGGAGCCACTGAATGTGGACAGGAATATCCTGCGCTAATCCCACAAATACCCGATTAGCAGTCATCAACAAACGAATCATCCGAAACCGTAGACACAATAATAGAAATAGAATAGTTAAATTATTTAGCAACTAATCTGATTTCCATGCTGAACCATTTGAGACTGTACACCATAAGCAGAAAACCAAGCACTAGCCTGCACCTCGTTTGTACTACAACCTAATGATTTAATATACATTTAAATAGATACATAAATATTGGTTTTTAATGTGGAAACTTCAGAGCAGTCCGTCACAAGTCTGGGTGGTGTTGCACGCCACTCCTCGAAAGCCATCGTAGGCGGCACGCTCCATCAGAACAATGAGATCGTTGTAGCGCGGTTTCTCCAACGGCACACTACGGATAATAGAAAAAGTTAAGATTAACAAAGTTCTTATTTATACTGCATAGTTGATAAGCTGAATTTTAAACGTAAATTTTAACTACATTTTAAAGATCTGATGGAGAGGTATTATCAGGTTAAATATAATATTTTTAAATTTATGAAAAACGCAAGTACCTAATAATTAAATTGTTTTTCTTGAGTTCAGCCAAGTTACTAAATAATTAATTAAACAAAGAATTTCTTCTATGCCTCTGTTTTGTTAAAATAAATATGAAAAATATATTTGGTTGCCGTAAGCAATGAAAAATATTGAAATCACAATTTAAATATGATATGTCCATAATTATTATTTTGAATTTAAAGGTTTCCTTACCCATTGAAAACTTCAATTGCTCCCAAAAGAGCACGTCCTGCCTTCGCGTACTCATAGGCTGCTGTGGGGCAGGCACAGGATGCAGCGTAGAGACACTCATCCCTGCCGGCTCCCTGGGCGGCCAGGAATCCGGTTATCAGATAGTCATCGCCAGAAGTCAAGCCCAGGCCAAAGTTGCTTTCACTACGCCCAGCGGAGCGACCATGACCATAGCCATAGCTACTCCAGTGTCCTGCTCCCAGCATTCCAGCTGAGAAGATTAGCACCTTCAGCAGTATGATGACCAGCAGATTGGTGAGGTTCAAACTAAGGACCTAAGGTAAAAGTGGTAAATTATATATTATCCATATTTCTGCAAAGATGTTCCTATATCCTTGACCCACTTGACTATTTCCGGCGGAGCGATGCAGCAGCTCCTTGGCCACCTGGATGACCACATGGCCAGCGGGACCGCCAAACATGCTATTCGCATTTCGCAACCAAGAAAGTGGTCTTTCCAGGGAAGTTAACCCGCCATTGAACTCAGACTCCGTGGAGTTTGCTACCCCACTATTATCCATATCCGAGTCGAAGGATTGCAGCTGATAGCTGGCTGTCTTGGCCAGATCTGGGAAACAGATCAGAACTGCGACAGTGATGATGATATAATCCCAGCCTGATTGTGGCATTTTGAAGATCGCGTGCTTGTCTTTCGGTCTGTGTCGGATGTAATGCGAATGATGACTAGTCTGGGCCCTGGGAAGTGCCTGGTTTTTATGGCACGATGTTACGCCTTGGCAGGTAGGCGAGGAGATTAGGCTGCAGGCCTCGTTGCACTGGAAAAGCTGATCGGGAGCGAGAGTGTTTTTCCTGGTGTCATTAGCCTGAAAATGCTGCAGACGTTTTTCCGCCCGAAGGATTCGCTAATGTCAATGCTAACTCAATTCCGCAGGTAGACGCACGCGAAATTGTGCGTGGAAGTGGAAAACAATTTGTGTCTTTGCTTTTGTATCAATCATCAACTCATTTATTGTTACTTTGGTTTTTGTTTTTGTTTTTCTTAGCCATTGCAGTTGCCGCTGTTCATTGGAATAATTTGTAGTATATATATAGATTTGCAGTAAATTTGTGGGTACCGAATGAGTGGGTGTAACCCCCGGCTTCTTTCGTTTTTTTTTGGGGGAAATGGGGGATTTTTTTTTAGAGGAAAGGTGAATCAATTACAGACAACATATAAGTACATATTTCTTGCTATACTTTCACAATAATACGAGTATTTATTTGGTATATTTTGCAACAGATTAGAAGTCGTGTAAGTTATATGCTTTATGCTTGAGTATTTCGTTTGAATTTCAATTTATGTTTTCAGCACTTTCTGTTCATTTGATGTACGATATTTTTATGGTGTGAGTGAGTTGTGGGTCTAGTGCCATGATATATGGTCGTCGAATTCCTCGAGCGATGCCTGTATTTATGTACTTTCTGTTCTACATTTGTCGTTATAAATATATGTTTATAAAACATTTCGTGAATATGTGCCAGTTCGATTAAAATGATGATGTTTACGATTACGAAAAAGTACTTGTAGCCAAAGATTCACTTATAATTACATACATATTTTATATATATTTGTATATAGATGATAGGATGATATAGATGAAGTAACTAGGCGTTGGCCCTAACCAAAAACAATAGTTATTCAATATTCTTGTATAGTTGTAAATTTGTTTAGATTAAAATATTTGTAGCATTCCCAAATGTAGATTCTACTAAAATCGAAGAGAGTTGATAAATTAACAAGTTTCAAGTTTTCTTCTGTTACATTCCTCTGCGTATAACAGTATTTAAAATTCTCTAATGCAATGAGTTGATAAAAGAGAAAAGTTTACAACCCAATTGAAATGATTTCAAGTCAAACGCGTAACTATTATTTCAAATATAACATATGTAAAATTGTCTATTGCTCTAAATAATGCTTAAACATGTGCGTAACAAAAAACATGTATCAAACATTTGTTGCTAAATAATAGTCCTAACAAATTGAAGCTATTGTTTATATTTTGAATGCATAATATGACTTCGTTGTTGTCGCTTGCAACATTTATAAATATTTATTTTCGTATATTATCTAAATATTCCACAATATCATTGCCTCTGTCTGTTCATTCCTTGACCTTTGTGTACCGACTAAACCGTGTAAATTTATGTGGATCGCATGGGATCGCTAGATTTTCGAATATGTTTGGTTCGTTATTGTTGTCCAGTTGGTTCAGCCTAGATTAACATTGCTTGTCGTGCTTGGTACTTCCAATCTTTTCATATCTTCCAAAGCCGGCATGGCTTTTTTTGGTTTGTAAACATTAACTGCTAATACATCATAATAATAATCATAATATTTGTGGTAATAAACATTTACTTTGTGTGTGAGTAGCTTCTGTTCTTGTGTACTTTTGTGTTTTGTATGTAACATTTGCTCATAGTAATTTCCAAATACATATAGTTCGTTAACCGATTTATCCATTATAATTAGATCGCGTATATATTAGTATTAAACGTTTGGTTGTTTATTATACTTTGCGCATATTGTCTTTTATTTTATATAGTTTTTAGGACTTCATATGTGTCTCATGTTGGTATATAACAGATTCATTAATATTCGATTTATTTAAAAATTTCCCATTGATTCATTAGCAGGTTAACATGAATATACGCTTGCGAATACTTTTTTTTTGTCCTCAACTCCCAATTGGTTTAATATGTCGGTATATAATTCAATATTTGTCTCAATAATATATTTAATATATAATTTTTTACTTTGGAAAATGCTTCAAAATGTTTTTAGGTATGGTAATTATGTAGGTTCCTTCTTCCTAACGATTTATCATGCTGCAAAACCAGTCAAGTCATCGGCGACATTTCATTGCACATATCTAATGGGTTTTGCATTATTGTTGTTGCATTGGTGGTTATAATTATGTTTTAGTAGTGTTCTACAGTGTCTACATAGCATTTTCTGCTGCTTCTTCTTCTTCATTATGTTTAATGGCGAATGAAAGGAATGTATTTCGATCAAGATAGTTGATAGTTGAAACGATAGTAACCCAATGATTATGTGTGTGAGTATATGCTTAGTGTTTTTTCCCATGAAACCAGGAAACTTCAGAGGCAGAAAATAGATAGATTTCCATAGTTTGCTTGTCTTAGTGTGTTTGTGAATGAATATGGGTGATAGTTTTAGGTTGGAATTTCTTCTGGATTCACTTCAAGTCCAGTTCTTCGTCGTCCTCCTTACTGGCACTCCAGCGTTTAGTGTGCGATCCAATGCTGCTTATGCTGCCCGAATCGCTGAAGTCGCTGAATGCCGCATTCTGGATACCCTCGTAGATCTTATAGCTGCCCGATCCGGTTCCGTTTCCCGATCCCATTCCGCTGGAGCTCATGCTCATGCTCTTGGCGGCCCCAAACCGATCGCTCTTGTAGTTCGAGGGTGGTCCTCCGAAAATCATGTCAGCATCCGAGATGGATCCTGCAGCCCGGGTGTACTTCCCATTTCCATAGGAGGCCGGAGTGGTCTTGGTGTCTCCGAAAATGACATCCAGGTCTGAGTGCTTGGAGGCTGCAAGAATTGGGAGCATAAATTAATGACTAAAATCTGAGTTGGGCGACAAGTGCACATCAATTTGGCGTGGGTGCAGTTCTTAGCACTTATCGTTAGCACTACGTGAGCCAATCGAGATTTACTTCTATCTATACAAGAGGCGATCGAAAAAGTAAGCTAAATCAATTATCACTTATTAAACAACTAAATATTTTTAAATACACAATATAAAATATATTGCCATATATATTGGTAAATTGCAAAAAACTTAAGGAACTTAAAATTTCAAACAAATATAATTTCAATCCATTTTAAATTTCAGCTTATACAATTTTATGATGAACAAATATTTATGTCGAACTTTATTATTATTAATTATTACGGATTTATGACCATATAATCGATCGCCTCTTGTATATTTGATTCTTGACTTTTGGTGATGAGGAGGATGAGCAAAATGAGCGTTACCAAAATAAGCATTATCAATATGTGAGTGAATGACAATGAAACTTTTGAATACTTCTGATTCTTAAGCGACTTTCGGACTAGTTGATAACAGTTTTTCTATGGCTCATCTTTTGATAACTCTGCATTTACTGCAATACGCACACACACACACTCTAAAACTAAAAAGGGTTGCATTAATATTACCAACGAATTTTGTATTTTCTAAAAGCTTTGATTACTCTTGTGGTGTCTTGGGTTTATTTTTTCTGGTTTGTATCTGGATTGTATCTGGGGTATCTCTTGTTTCTCGATGCGTGCCCAAAAAGCGAGAACTGAACTCAGGTTTGCGGTGCACTCTAGCGAGTGTGTACTGTTCGGTGGTTCCTGTTGTTTGTCTTCTGTGTTGTGGCTGTGTCTGTGTGTGTGTGTGTGCAGGCAAGCATGTTTAACATCGCTGAGCGAGAGAGAGACTTACAAACACTTGGGCGGCCCACAAGTCGTATACGTAATATTTGGCTTACTCACTGAGCTTGGCTAGGAAAATCAAAAACAGTTAGGCTAAAGGACACAACTCCTACTTTTCTCGTTTGGCTAACACTTTGACACGGCTGCCTACTTGGCTAGGGGTTAATCGATTACATTTAGTTGGTCTCTATATATATATGGGGTGTAGCTGATTAGTACGATAATGAGATTAAATGGCATGATTTATATATATACTTGTATATATATTCATAAGGATGAGTCGAGCTCTAGGTCTTGCGCAGGGTTAGGCTGACCAGCAGTACGCCCACGGCTAGATAATTACCATTGCTCTCGGATCGCGAGTACGAGGGTCGGGTGTACGAGGGCAGATCGCTGGGATTGTTGAGGACCTCGCCCTGCGAGCCAATCGAGTTGGAATCATAGCCGGAGGTGTCACCCGGCAGCACAGTGGTCACCGCAGCCGGTGCACTATACACACTGGCCGATCGCATGCCAATGGCCGACCTCCAGTCGTTGGTGGTCACCGAGGTGGTGATGGTTCCCGTAGCGGGAGCAATGTCCCCTGCTCCCACCACCGCACTGCTGCTGCTGATGTTGGTGATGGCCGTGACACCACTAGCCTCTCCAGCCTCCGTGGCCGTGGCCCCCGTGTTCGTGGTGTTCGTATCCATGCGCGTGATGGTCTCCACCGAAGTGGTGCTGCCATAGTTGCCATAGCTGGTCTTGTCCTTGCTCAGGGAGCTGCTGAAACTGTTCCTGTAGCCACTGGAACTGTTGGCATTGCTGCCCACCGCCGCCGACGAGACATTGGTGGGCGGTGGTGGCGGTGGACCCGCCGGCGGGGGCGGGGATTTGATGGCGTTGCCATTGCGATTGATGCGCGACGAGATCGACGAGGATGACATCGATGATGACGAGGTGGTGTGTATGCTGGCCGCACTGCCCGACTTGTTGGGCTCCTTGTCGAAGGGATTGACCCGTTCCTGTTGCTCGTAGTTGGTCACCGGCTGGTAGCCGGCGGTCGCTCTATCCGTATCCGTATTTGTTGTACCGCTAATCGAAACGCTGCTGTCCGGCCGGGCGGCTGAGCTGGCCGCCGTCGCTGGCACCGCTGGGGGCTCTTCGCTGGGACGCTGTGTGGGCTGTGTGGAGATCACGCCCACGCCCGCGCCCGAACCTTCGCCCTTGCCGGCGAACGAGAACTGCTTGCCGAGGAAGGAGCCACTGAATCCGCTCCCCGGTCCCGCGCTGCTGGGCACACTGCCCGGCCCGCTGCCGCCGCTCGTCTCGCTGGCCGTTCTGCCGCGCTTCTTGTTAGCGATTTCCTACATGTCACCAAAGATCCCCGCAAAGGTCTTCCTCAGGTTCTTCATG